GTGGTATGTGTGTGTGTGTATGGTATGTGTGTGTGTGTGTGTTATGTGTGGTGTGTGTGTGTGTGTGTGTGTGTGTGTGTGTGTGTGTGATGCCAGTTCAGCTAAGCTGGTTGGCGAGTGAGCCCCGGGGATCTGACTGCCTCTGTCTCCCTAATGCCCGGGTTACAAAACCACATGGCCATGCATGGGTTTGGCTTTCACAAGGGTGCTGGAGATCTGAACTTACCACCGTCTCCACAGCCCATCAACTAATTTTTATTTAGAAAGGTAATAGCTACATTTCTGAAATTTGTCTAAACAATTTCCCCAAGTACTCTGAGACTACTTTCAACCGAAATTAGCAATACAATTTTAAACGTTGGTTTTCCCATTTAAAAGCTGAATTCAACTGTTTAAGAAAACTGAAACCCTTAGTCTCAATAAACATTAAAGTTAATTCATGTATTTCTTTCCAGATGTTCCCATTTGCAAAACAGCCCAGATTAATTTCTGAGAGTTACAAGAGAAGGAATCTGAACAGAAAATTCCCAAACATGGCAACCAGGAGGGAAAGCATTTCATGGACTACAGACATGGGGTTAATTTGGTCAAGGTCCAAGCCCTGGCAGCAGATGAATTCTCAGCCTGTAAAACAGTTTTGTCCAGCTTGGCTTCTGTGGAGTCACCCTAACTTGTGGAACAGGGCTCCAGAATGTAAGCTGTCCTTGTGGAAGCTGTTGATGGGACTTTGAGAATAAATGACAGCTGCAGCCAGGCATCAGAGGTACAATGCACAATGCACAAACCAATGCACTGCCAGAGCCATGATGTGTTTTTCCAAAACACTCTTAGTAAAGCATTTTTATACATGCTGCTCTCCTTCCAAACACCTCAGCAAACTGTTTTTCAACACCTACAAGTTTGTTTTAGCATGTACTTACAGGAAGTTTAATAATATGTATAAACATAACAAGAAAAAAAGTGTGTGGTCCCTTTATTGACAATGCCAGCAAAGATTCTTCTCACAGTTACAAAATACCCCATGATGTTCATACAATATCTTTTAGCAAATGGCATCAAAATCTCAAATCTTATTAGTGTTATTTTTTAATGTTGTGACTAATTTGTGGGACTGAGGAGCTACAGCCTCCCTTTAAGCCGGTTATCAAAATCAGTGGCAGTACTGGGGACACTTGGGAAAGGGTGAGGTAACAGTATTGATACTTCCTCTAAACAAGAGGATGTGGAAGTCAAGGGGATAAAATGTCTTTTCTCCGGAGTCCAGGGACGGTCATTGACAGCTTTTGTTCATAGTCTCTGTTTTATCAGTTGCCTTCCTGTTGAATACACAGCTCGGATATTCTTCAGCCCAAATGCTTCAGGCTGGAAGTATTTCAGTCTTTTTCCTCCCCAGATTTTTTTTTCCTTCTAATTTTGACAGTAACTCATCCCATGAAGTTGGATGTAAAATCTTCTCCTGATAGAATTATGTCAGTGACTCAAAAGTTTCATACTTTGGAGATCTGAATAAGGGATGATCAACCCATGTTAATGAAAATATATGAAGTTTCAGGGGGATTGGCCTTGTCATTTTTTTTTTTTTTGAATTACTCTTTTCTGCACCTGTAAGCTGTGTGCCCTGTTATGGAGACTTCTAATTTTAAAAAAACAAAACAAAACAAAACAAAAAAACCCAACAACAACGAGGCTGCAAAATGAACGTGCTGGCGTGCCTGCAGTGGTGTACACCTCAGCCGTTTTCTCCAGTATGTATTCATTCTCACAGGTGCTGGGGCCTGAAGTTAGTAAATCGTAAATAACCCAGGGAGGGACGGGTGGGGGTGAACAGGGGTTCAGACTGAGGCCCAACTTACCCCTGTGCCTGTAGGCAACTTTCACAGGAGCACACACAAATTCAGCCCCCCAAAGTCCACAGCTACCAAAGGGGATTGACGGCATGAGGCGGTACACGGGGATGGTCCCACATTCCAAAGAGGGTGCATTGGACACTTCTGAAAATGAATCTGAAAGCCTCTTTTCATTTGGATGATGCTCGACAGCCTCATGGCTTGAGTTTGGTGCTAACATGGTGTCAGTCATGTCCTGGAACTGCTGGTGGCCCTGGTGAAGCCATGATGATGACTGAATGGTAAGGACAGGGCCTCTGGCTCTGAGTTAGCCAGAGGAATTCAAAGGTCACTGAGCCCTGGTAGGTTGTGAATATTTCCCCTTTACTCCTTCAACTTTAAGAAACTTACAAAAATAATGATATTTATTATTACCTGTTCAACTAGAGAAGGAATTGCAGATGACCGAAGAAGTTAGAGCCTTATCTTTGACATGTTCCTATGTCTTTTTTCCTCTTTCACTGGGTATTTTTTTTTTTTTGTCATAACGTTAAAACAAACACATACTTTGGCAACAAAGAAATGAAAATTAACAAAAACTACCCCCCCCCAAAAAAAGATGTCAGGAGGGCAAAAATATTAAGCTATCTAAGTCAGAAACATCAGTATGCTTTTCTAAATGACAAAGCCTCTCCACAGTGGTGGCAGGGTGGGTGACTTGAGTGAGTCACTGGCCACAGGTTCCTGGTGACACTTCTAGAGGGACAGGTTTCCTACGCAGCCAATAGGATCTTTCCTGAGTACTCACATGACATGACAGACTGGTGTCCTGATGTCATGTCAGTGAGATGTGTCTGGATAGTGTCACCTCCCTTGGACAACTGAGGGATGCTGTCTTGTATCTGGCTGGAGGTTTGAGGAGCCAGCCATAGATCTCTGCTTTTTAGAGGGAATGCTTCTGTTGGTGAAGACGGAAAAGGCCAACTCAGAATGCCCTTCCTTTTTCAATGAAAAGAAAAAAAATACTAATACACAAATGGACTTAGATTATTAGAGTTCAAATCAGTTTTGATTGATCTGTCCAGCTTTCATTTTAGTCTGGTCTAATAAACCTTTCTGACAAAGGACTAACATGGTGGTAGCTTGTTATGTAGAGTACACATCTGATTTCTCAAATTTTACTTCTGTTGGGCTTTAAAATAGATTCTTCTGCTTTTAGTGTAGAGACAGGGTTTTCTTTTTAAAGATACATAAATATTAACATTGGTTTGAAGACATATTTACAAGAGTGATAAGTTTGAATTATGTCTCTTAAGGCGTATTTTTTATGTGTGTATTCCTATACACGTGTGTGTGAGTGTGTGTGTGTGAGAGAGCATGTATGTTTGTGTGTATGTATGTGTGTATTTGTGTGTGTGTGTGTGTGTGTTGTGTGAGTGTGTGTGTATGTGTATATGTATGTGTGTATGTGTGTGTATGTGTGTGTTGTATGTGTGTGTTGTGTATTTGTGTGTGTGTGTGTATGTGTGAGTGTGTGTGTTGTGTGTGTGTATGCATGTGTGAGTGTGTGTGTTGTATGAGTGTATGTGTGTGTGTGTGTGTGTGTGTGTATGTGCGTGTGTGTATGCTCATGCGCACACACACATGCAGCCCAGAGGGTAGCCTGTGGTGTTGTTGCTCAGATGAAATCTACCTTTGGCTGAAGCAGCAGCTCTCACTGGAACCTGCTGACTAGGCAGTGCTAGCCACAGACATTCTCCTGTCTCCATTTCCCAAGCACTGACTGGGATTGCAAGTGCCTCCACCGTAGCTGGCTTTTTAGTATTTTATTTTATTTTTTCACATGAATTCTAGGTACAAAGTCAGGTCTTCGCAAACTGAGCTATAGCCCTGCTTTGAGACATTTTTTTGACATATGGTTTAACCACCTCAAACACCTGAGAATGGGGTAGGGCCACTTCTGTAAACTCATAGCACCATGGTTTCTCGGGTAGGCTGCCAAGAGCATGAAAAATATTTTTAAGATTCGTAAGCACACTGGAGTTTTTCATAGGCACAAACATTAAGCTGTATGTCTTAACCATCTCCATATCACAATGTCACTGTGCCCTTAAGACTACCTTAGCCTATCTGGATTCAGAACAACATAATTTTAGGGTCACAGTAAACCTCAGAGATGTCTAAGCTAAATCATCACACTTCTTCCAAGTAGAGCCATTGAATTTTTCCATTTCTTCAAACCCAAACTCTACCAAACCCAATACACAACTGGGGTAGAGCGGCCTCCTCAAACATTCCCTGTCAGTCGAGAGCTGGCTCTCATCTAAGGCCTCCTGCCTGCTTCCTGTATGGCACACATCTTTCTTCCTGCACCACGGTTATTTGCTGCTGTGCCCTATTTTCCCACCAGACATGAGCTCATCAAGAGGACATCTGAGTCACACTGAGTTCTTTGATGATATTCCTCATAGACAGTAGGTCCTCCAAGAACCCGGTGTGGAGCATGCACTCAGTAATTTCTGCTGGCCATAAACCATTTTAAGAGAGAATGAAAACCCTCTCAAGAAACATTTTAGGAGGGCTCTGGTTGGGAAGGAACGACACAAGAAGAGAAATTGAGATGTGAGTCACAGTGACTGGCACATGAAAGTGGCAGGTGCGGCTTCTTCACCTCTGCGTAACCCAGAGAGGATCAAACGTTAATAAAACACTTCACATGTCAATAGCCCGACTTTTATTTGAAACCCTTGGCTACCTGTATGTCGTGCCAGACCAGAAATATACAATCTTTTTTTTTTTTTTTTTTTTTTTTTTTTTTTTTTTTTTTTTTT